TTGGGCGTCTTAAAGGCCTCCTGTGCCATCTTGGGGGCCTCTGGGGGCCGTCTTGGGGCCCTCTTGGGCCGTTCTGGGGCCATCTTGGAGGCCTCTTGGGCGATCTTTCGGCGATCTTTGGGGGCTCTTGGGCCGTCTCGGGCCGTCGGGAGGCCGAAAAGAAGGACATGTCAAAATCCGTCAAACACTTTAGGAAAAGCAATTTTTTTGGCCGCTTCTGGCCTTCCTGGAGGCCCTCTTGGGGGCCTCTTGGGCCCTTTTGGGCCAGCTTCGAGTCAACTTCGGCCATCGTGGTGGGTTCCTGGCACGTCTGACGCCGTCGGGAGCCGTCTTGGGAGCCTTTCTGGGCCAACGGGGGACCCTCTTGGGGCGCTTGGGGGCCGTCTTGGAGGCCATCTTGGGCGTCTTGGAGGCCATCTTGGGCGTGCTGAAGGCCTCTTGGGTCGTCTTGGGGCCCTCTTGGGGCCGTCTTGGAGGCCACTTGGGCTGTCATGGGGCCCTCTTGGGGGCCTCTTGGATGATCTTGGAGACGTCTTGGGCCACTTGGGGCCGTCGGAAGGCCGAAAAGGCGTAAGTACCAAAATCTGTGAAAATCCTAAGGAAAATCAATGATTTTGGCCTCGGCGAGCCTTCCTGGAGGAGCTCTTGGAGGCCTCTTGGGCCGTCTTCGGGGCCTCTGGGGGGGCTCTTGGGCAGTCGTGGGCCATCTTGACACCATCTACGGCCGTCTTGGGTGCATGTTGGGCCGTCTTGGCGGCATCTTGGGGACATCTGAGCCGTCTTGGAGGCCATCTTGGCCGCCTGGGAGGCCATCTCGAGCCATCTTGGAGGATTTTTGGCGGTCGTTGAGCTCGTTTCCGGGCCTTCCGCGGCCCCGGCGGGACGGGCTGAAACCCACTGGGAGAGTTCTTTTCGAAAAAGAACCAAAACCAAAAAGCAAGAGGATTTGGCACGCCGGGCACCCCCTTGCTGAAGCGACAGGGGGCGGCGGATCGAAGACGCCTACGGCGAATCACCGCCGCCCCCTGCCTTTTTGGAAGCGCCTGTGTGGGCGAACGTTGAGGCCAGGCCTGCCAAGCTATCGGACCATGTGTTCCCCGAATCGGTTTGGAAAGCCTTCGGGGAACACGTGGGCATCTTGAAGGTCATCTGGGTCGTCTGGGGGCCGTCGGAGAGCTGAAAAGAAGAACATGCCAAAATCCTTGAAAAACCTGGGGAAAATCAATGATTTTAACCTATTCGGGCCTTCCTGGAGGGCGTCTTGGAGGGCTCTTGGGCCGTCTTGGAGGCCTTTTGCCGGCCTTTTGGGCCGTCTTAGACCATCTTGAGGCCATCTTGGACCGTCTTGGGTGCATCTTGGAGCCATCTTACCCGTCTTGGAGGCCATCTTGGCCGTCTTGGAGGCATCTTGGAGGCCATCTTGGGCCATCTTGGCCGTCTTGGAGGCCATCTTGGGCGTCTTGGAGGCCTCTTGGGCCGTCTTGAGGCCCTCTTGGGGCCTTCTTGGGGGCCTCTTGGGCCGTCATGGGGCCATCTTGGAGGCCTCTTGGGTGCTGTTGGGGCGATGTTGGGGACCTCTTGGGCCGTCTTGGGCCGTCGGAGAGCTGAAAAGAAGAACATGCCAAAATCCTTGAAAAACCTAAGGAAAATCAATGATTTTAACCTATTCGGGCCTTCCTGGAGGGCGTCTTGGAGGGCTCTTGGGCCGTCTTGGAGGCCTTTTGCGGGCCTTTTGGGCCGTCTTAGACCATCTTGAGGCATCTTGGGCCGTCTTGGGTGCATCTTGGAGCCATCTTACCCGTCTTGGAGGCCATCGTGGCCGTCTTGGAGGCATCTTGGAGGCCATCTTGGGCCATCTTGGCCGTCTTGGAGGCCATCTTGGGCCAAGTTGGGGCAACAAAGGCATTGACAGACGCATTTTGGGAAATTTACGGGTGGCCGGCGGGACGGGCCGAAGCCCACTGGGGAGTTCTTTTAGAAAAAGAACCAAAACCAAAACTGAATCATCCAGCACGCCGTGCACCCCTGTGGCAAGACCACAGGGATCCCGCCACCGTGCCAGGGTTGTGGATCTGAGGCCTTCTGTATATGTGTTGGGGTGTCGTGGGGAGCCTCTCTGGGGCACTCTTGGAGGCGGTTTGGACGCCTCTTGGGGGCCTCTTGGGGACCTCTTGGGGCCTCGTGGGGTATCTTTTGGCCGCGTCTTGGGCGCGTCTTGGCGCCTCTTGGGGTCTCTTGGGGGCGTCTTGGCGGCCTTTCGGGGGCTTCTCGGAGCACAAATACCAAACCTTCGGTTCGTGGTCCCCTGCTTGGGCCCCTCTGGGCCGTCTTGGGGCACTCTTGGAGGCGTCTTGGGCTGTCTTGGGGCGGTCTTGGAAGCTTCTTGAGCTGGCTTGGAGCGTTGGAAAAGCCGAAAATGCGCGAAGGCCATCATCCTTCAAAAACCGTCGTAACATCTACGGTGTTGGCCTCTCTGGGCTCTCTCGGACGGCCTCTTGGAGCGCTCTTGGGGCCTCCTTGTGCCCTCTTGGGCCGTCTTGGAACCATCTTCGGGCACCTTGGAGCACTCTTAGCTTCGGCAATGCGAATCTGGCGTAATCTGCTGAGGCTCATGGCTTCGGGGACGCGAGCCTTCCGTGCGTTACGAAGGCTTGTTGCCTCGGGGACGCAGCAGTTACTGAACTGTGGTTTGTGGCCTCGCCTTATGTCGGGCTTGTCCCTTGACAAAGGGAATATTCAAAATAGTAAAAAAAAATAGCCTGGGGACTATTTTTTTGGTATTGCTGTTGATTTTGGATGTTTGTGGGGGTATCTTTAATTTTTCGTCGAAGATCCCCCTGTAGGGGGGCACGCCGGACTTAAGCCTCGGCGGCGCGAACACTGCGTCATTTACGAAGGACTGCGACCTCGGGGGCGCGAATCGCAAGTATGTCTACTTGTCCCGCGCCCCCCAGGACACTCAGACCACGCGTTTCGGGCGTGGTCGATTGGGCGGTTGAAAAACTGATCGTCGCTCTCCGTGCCGTCGCGCTTCCACACGTTCTGTGGGCAACCAGCTATCGTGCAGCTGACAGGGGCAGCCCTGGGAGACATCCGAGGCACCCCAGCCAGCGAAACGCAAGAACACGGGAAGGGCGAGCTGGAAAAAAGACACTCCCGCACCGTGAGCAATCAAGGCGCCCGAAAGGTGCGAAATCCCAACGGTAGTCTGCGCGGGACACTCGACAGCCCTTCCGAGCCTGGAGCCTCCAGCGGTGCAACTGTCTGCCTTTTCGGGCCAGACCAGACAGGCAGACGGACGGACAGACGGTCAGACGGACGGACACACAGACGGAAAGACAGACGGACAACGGCCACCCACAAGGGCCAAGCGTGTGGAACCGAAACTCCCAAATTTTCGAATCCATTGCTCCCACCAGGGAGCACTGAGGCCATGAGGCACTGAGGCCACGAGGCCAAGAGTCGTGGAGCACGAACGCCCCTCAAATTTTACTGCCCCGTAAATCGCTTCGGGATTTAGGGGCGACGGGGCTTCCCCCCTCGCGCGGACTTCAACAAGTTACAGTGAGAGGCAGGAAGGAAGATTGCTGCCTAGCCGCTTTTTGATGGGTAGCCCCGTGCACCCGCACGGACCGATGGGCGAAGCACCAAGTGCGGCCGAACGGGAAGCCCGAGAGACCCCAAGGACCCTCGAGACCCATCCGGCCGGCGCACGGGACACCCAAGGGAGGGCGGGCGGGAGAGCCGGCTCCGACGGCGGCCATGGCCACAGTGCGACCCCAAGCCCCTCTGCGAGGCCGCCGACCAGCAGAGGAGCCGCACAGCTCCTACTAGAGCACAGGCCGAAACTTGTTACCCCGCCTCGGACCCGGGCGGCAAACGGGAGAGCGGAGTAGCCGAAAGGCAAACGAATCCCCGAATCTCCGAATGGAGACGGACGCGGTTTGTGAGAATCTTCTTCCCCAGAACCAAGGGCTAGGGATGATCAGGACTGCAACACTGAAGACTTGAAACTGCCACAGGCGCAGGGAGCAGCAACTTCGCACGACAGCATGGTGGCCCCACAGGGGGGCCGGCGGATCTTTGAGTATTTTTGAGGTATTTCTTGTCTCCCAGATCCGCTCGACACGGGGCCGGCATCGACGAAGAGCGCCAGGACTGACTATATAGCAACAAGTCGTCGGAGATCCGGGCCCGACACCGCGCGGAATCAGACGCGAAGGGCCCACATCCGGCACCAGGCCCAGAGAGGGAGAGAGGGAGAGCTGTTTGTCGGCAGGCTGGGGGGAGAAGGAGGAAGAGGATGAGGAGGAGGAGGAGGAGGAGGAGGAGGAGGCAGAAGACGAACAAACCGCACAAACATAAACTTTTGGCGCTCCGCGCGGACCTCTTGGATCCGCACCAGACCCCCTTCCCTGGCGCGCGGAGCGCGCCAGGGGCGATGCCAGAGGCGCCGCCAGGGCTTCGGCGGCTTCCGCGCGCCAGGGAAGGGGGGTCCAGCGCGGATCCGGGAGATCCGCGCGGACCTCCGAGTTCTTATGTGTATGTCAATCGTCCATCCCCTAGATCGGGGGCAACGATAGGGGGCGATAGGCATATAGGGCGGGACGCACCGACCCCCAATCGACCATTGATCGCCGATAGCCCCGATCTGCACAGCATGGTGCGGATGCACTATCGGGAACCTGTCGCCGATCTATCGGCGATGCATCGCCGATTCCCAGTCGATGCATCCCCCCCCTATGCCAGTCCCCCCTACAGTCGGGGCCCTGAAGAAGGAACCCTTTTCGTTGGGGAGGGGCTCCGTGTTCCTTCATTGTTTCGCAGCTTGCTTCAGGCTTTCCTCATGTTTTCGACAGGAAATCGAAGGTCAACTTATTGAAAAAGAGGCCTCGTTCCTGATTTAAGGTTCGTCGGTCAACTCCCCGACTGTATCGTTGCCCCTGTCACTAGAGAAGGGAGCGCACGACACCTGGGGAGATGGGGAGCGGGGCGCGCAGGATCCATGCCGCACACGTGCCTGTGGCTCGCGCCCGACGTGTTCTTCTACAAGGAGGCCCCGAGCGCTGCCCGGCCGCCCTGCCTGTAAGTCGGGCCGATCCCTCTATACAGGAGGAACATTAGAAAATAGTGGAAACAAATAGCACGGGGCTGATTGTTGTTGTCCCTAATCAGTGCTTGCGCTGAAGGGGTCCTCGCGGATGTTGAAGGAGTTGGCGAACGTGCCCCGCCGATTTTGGTCGCACGCTGGGTTCCCGGGTTCCCGGTTCCAGGTTTCCGGGTTCCCGGTTCCGGGTTCCGGGCCGATTTCGGAGGGCGGCGAGGTTCCAGGGTTCCCGGGTTTTGGGTCGATCTTCTGATCGATCGGTCTCACCATCGATCTGATTACCGACTTCTCGATCGGTCCCACCATCGATCTCACAACCGATCTCACTATCAAGATCACAAGCGATCTCACTAGAGATCGCATGAGCGATCTCGCAATCGATCTCACTATCGGTCTCATTGAATCGATTTCATTCTCGGGCCCAGAATCGACCTTACAATCGTCCTCACTATCGATTGCACTATCGATCTCACCATCGATCTGACAATCGATCTCAAGATCCATCGTATCAATTTACAATTCATCCACTGATTGAGTTTTCTCATGTGTAATTGTATATGTGACCATTTTCAAATGTTTTTGGACTATTTCAATGTTTTCCTCCACAACCCGTCTGTAGAGGGACAGGCCCGACTTAACCATACCTGCACATGAGATGTCTTGGACATGGGTGGAGGGGTGTCCAAGAGGGGGGTCGAGGACCTTGGATCATGTCAAAGAACGCTGGGGAGCGTCTTCTGTAGGTGTTCAAGATCTGCGTTTTGTTGCCTGTTTGGGGGTCAGCTGTTGTTGTGTTTCTGCCTCGGGATTCGTTCGCGCCGTTGTCGGGTCGGTTCTGTGATATTTTGCATGTTGTGTCTTGTTGTGGGTTGCCGTTTATTGTTCCGCTTTGGTTGCCCGGAAAACCAAAGAGTTCAGAATTGACGCGCCCCAGCGCTTTCAACGACGACCATGAGGACTAGGGGCGGCGTGGGTGTCATAGCCAGGGTCAGGAAAGCTCCGCGATGTCCTGGCGGCCGCCTTAGTTTCCTCGGTATGCTCGTTTTGATGCGCAACGCGTCCCGTGTTCAAGACGTCCGAGTCGATTACATTGCGTGTTGGCTCCGCGTATTGGCCAACGCTCTGGCGAACGTCTCTCGCCAGACCTGCGTGGTCGGTTTACGTGTTGAGCTCCGTATCACTACGAAGCGTGATGCGTGCTGCGCATCGGGGCAGCCAAGGGCGGCCCCCCTCTCCTTCCTTCTTCTCATCCTCCTCTTCCTCCTCTTCTCCTCCACCTCCTCCTCCCTTCCACCTGCCCTCAAGCTTCCCTCTTGTTCGCCGTCATTGGCTTGACGGAGCTGCGTGGGCTCAAGCTGACGAACGCCACCCCAACTTCTTCGCCATTGGTGACCTCAATATCGCAGATTCTGAACCGGTACACTTGTCTTCGCCGCCGACGGCTTCCTCAACGGCTGCGCGACCCGCACCCACTCGAAGGCAGTCGGCTCGGCACCTACCACGTCTTCGTCAGTTACCTCGACGTCTTCTGTTTCAGCTTCTTGTTCTCAGTATGTTTCGGGAACGCTCCGCCGGAACATTTTGGCGCCACCCCTCACAGATCACCGACGAGCTGGTGGCTTTGGCCGATCGGTCTGGCATTGGGGCAACAAGGTCCAGGGCTTCTGGCGCAATCTCTTCCAGCGGGACTTGGTGGAGGTGGTGTGCGAGCTCCCCAAGCACTACTTCAAGCGTTACCAGACGTGCTCCTTCATCGACAGAGCCTTTGTCTCGCTGCAGTCTCACCTCCTCTGGGGCACGTCCGTCGCCTTTGACATCTGGCAAGAGGCAGCCTCCTTAGCTGACTGGGGCCTCAGCGATCACGCCATCATCCAGCTGAAGATTCAGCCGCGCGTCGTTGCTGCTCCTGATGATCGGGCTATCCCGCAGAACGTGTTGACCTCCCCGCGCTTTTCCAAGCATGTCGCTAACCTGCTCAACCACCTCCAACTTCTCGGAGATCGCGGTGGAGAACCGCTGGGCGGAGGCCAAGCCGGAGATGATCGAGGCCGCGCGTATCACACGCAGCGAGCTTCAGGCCTTGCCCATTGGAGATGGCTCTGAAGAGGCTCTTGATGGACGCCGCATATCGGCTCGCGCGATTGCGAGAGCCGTCTGGAGGCAGGACTTACACTTCGCGTCCAAGCTGATCACCTCCACTGGCATGGGCGCCAGCAGGCGGCTGCGGCGGCTCACCTCCGTGAGAACGCGCGCGTGCAGGCTGGCACGGAGGGCCCCGCCACGCTGCAGCTGAGGAAAATGAAAGGTGCCGCCCAACGACGCGCTCTTCCTTGGACCCCATATCGACGCAGACTTGCGCTTGCTGGCATCCGAGCGGATGGCGAGGATACCAGTCTGATGTGGAACAACACTCCGCCATGATTATCGACGGTTTGCGGCAGCATTGGCAGCCCATCTTCGTGGACCGCGCCGTCGACGCCCCTGCGGTTGATGACGTCCTCAACACTCGTCCTCCAGAATTCGAACAACTTGGCCTTGGAGTTCCCTGTATTGCAGTTTCGCGGTCGGCCCTGCGCCGGACCGAGCCCGCGGCCCCAGGACTTGATAGGTTTCCCGCTGTTGCTTGGCTGGCTGACCGTCGTCTCACGGACATCCTTCACGTATCAGGGCAAGGGTGCCCCGCTTGGCTTCAACTTTGCCGATGTGGTCTTTGTCCCCAGGGGAGACGAGACGTCAGACGCCATGGGCGCGCCCAAGCGCGCGTCCAAGCTCCGACCATCGAGCCTCAAGGATTGCGACGCCAATGCCGTTGCGTCGTCCTCGAGCCTCTGGCGCGGGCCGCCGTTGGCCAGCTGCCAGCCCGCCGCGTGGGCCCCCCCGCAGGAGCGCAGGAGTGCTCGTTCTTCAGTTCCGAGGGCACTCAGCAAGGCTTGGTGGTTGTTTTTGTCTAGCCTTTGCGTGAGCACCTTTTGGAGCTTCTGTTGAGGGTCCTGCGCAAGCAGCCCCCAGGGCGGCAGCTGCAGGCGTCTCTCCTCGTCTCTCCTCCTCGTCAGGCAGCAGTTCGGCCAGCGCCGCCCGGCAAGCAGCCGCCAGGGGCAGCTGGGCGGTTCCAAGTCAGCCAGCTCTTCCAAGCCTGTCCGAGCCCGGGCCCCCGCCAGACTGTGCGCCCAGTCGAGGCCGCCCACGCCGCGGGCGCCAGCGCCGCCTGGCTCAGCAGGCCCCGGCCGCCCAGTCGCAGCGGCAGGCGACACTGCGCCCGCTGTGCGGCTTGCCGGGGGGTCCAGGCGCGCGAGCTCCTCGTAGGCCTTGAGCACGGCCTCGTCGCAGGCGGTCGCGGCTGCCTGGGTGTCGGCCGGCGGGCTAGAGCGGAGCTGGTGCGTGAGTTTGCCCGCGCCGCAGAGCCGCAACAGGAGCCCCGCCGCCAAGGCCGCCTGGAGGTGAAGCGAGGCCAGCGCGAGTAGTTGGGGCGAGCTTCCAGAGCAGCGCCGCAGCCGACTCCGAAGTCTCCTCCTCCTCCTCCTCGTCCTCCTGCTCCTCCTCCTCCTGCTCCTCCTCCTCCTCCTCCTCCTCCTCCTCCTTCTCCTGCTCCTCCTCCTCCTCCTCCTCCTCCTCCTCCTCCTCCTCCTCCTCCTCCTCCTCCTCCCTCCTCCTCCTCCCTCCTCCTCCTCCTCCTCCTCCCCCTCCTTCTCCTGCTCCTCCTCCTACTCCTCCTCCTCCCTCCTCCTCCTCCTCCTCCTCCTCCTCCTCCCTCCTTCTTCTCCTCTCCTCCTCCTCCTCCTCCTCCTCCTCCTCCTCCTCCTCGTCCTCCTCGTCCTCCTCCTCCTCCTCCTCCTCCTCCTCCTCCTCTTCCTCCTCCTCCTTTTCTCAAGCCAATCTCGGCTCGAGCGCGCATTTTGCTGCAGCGAGCCGAGGCCTCTCGCGTCCGCGTTCTCGCTTGGCTGGCAGCGGGCCGCGCGCACATGTCGTTTGCATAGCGTTCTCGCTGGCAACGGAGAGGCACAGTGAAGCAAGTGCACAATCAGGAGATTCCGCTGTCCGCTGGTGGGATATTTCAGCCGAGCTTATCTCATTCCTGCCGCTGGAGGCCGTCATTATGGTGGTGCGGCATTGGCAGCTTCTCGCCGCTGGATGCCGCCCTTTGTGGCGGTGCGGGTATGGACAAGAACACACTGATTGGCCCCTTTCTCGTGTTTGCCGCTGGAAGCCGCCCTTACGGCGGTGCGGCTGTCGCTGTTCTCGCCGCTGCAGGCCGCCCTTACGGTTGCGGACATGGACAAGGGCACCATTCATGGCGTTTCCCTCGTTGCTGCCGCTGGAGGCCGCCCCTACTGCGGAGCGGCTCTTGTATTCTTCTCCGCTGGAGGCCGTCCTTGCGGCGGCGCGGGCATGGACGAGGAAACCCTGCCTGGCATTTTCCTCGTGTTTGCCGCTGGAGGCCGCCCCTACGGCGGTGCTGCTCTTGATTTTCTCGCCGCTGGAGGCCGCCCCTACGGCGGTGCGGCTCTTGATTTTCTCGCCTCTGGAGGCCGCCCCTACGGTGGTGCGGCTTAGCTGCTCCCCCGCTGGAGGCCGCCCCTACGACGGTGCGGCAAGCGCTTCTGCTTCGTCTCCACTGCTAGAGGCCGCCCTTACGGCGGCGCGGCCTTGCTAGTCTCGCCGCTGGAGGCCGCCCCGACGGCGAAGCGGTCATGGACGGCGTCATCTTTGTAGCCGTTTTCCTTGTTTCTGCCGCTGGAGGCCGCCCGTACGGCGGTGCGGCTTTGGCTTTTCCGCCGCTGGAGGCTGCCCCTACGGCGGTGCGGCCAGGTACTCCTCAGTTGGCCAGCTCGCTTTTGTTTGGTTTGGTTGGGCTGGGAATGCCTTCCCGCACTTTTTCGCCACGGTCCATCCCAGGGGCGGAGGGCGTGGAGGTCCCGGCGGGATTTCCCACTTAAGCCCTCCCCCCCGGTCCTGGGTGTACTATGAAAGTTCCTTCATGCCCTTCATCACTGTCCTGCACGTCCTTTTTGGCGCCGGTTTGGTGGTGTTGGCCATACGCCAGTGTTGTTGTTCAAAGGCGAAGGTTGTCTTCGGAGTGGACGATCCCACTTTGGAGCTGCGCGTTCTGTACGGAAGTAGGGGTTGCCTCATCATGGGCCGCATCGGGTCCACTTCGGTTCAGCTGTATTATTTTGGCGCTTGCATCGCGGTTGTTATGGTGCGGTTGTACGCGTTTGTCTTACCTCGAGTGGGTGAACATGTCGCAGTGGAGGTACCCGTGGCGGTATCGTTCTTGTTCCGTCAAGCTTCGTCTGGCTCTACGGTATCAGGTCGTTTTCAACTTCTTTGTGCACTCGCTGCTCATTGAGTTCAGGGGGTGGCCTTTGTGAGACTATGTCTCGGCATCGCAAGTCGCAACTCCTCCTCCTCCTCCTCCTCCTCCTCCTCCTCCTCCTCCTCCTCCTCCTCCTCCTCCTCCTCCTCCCCTTCTCCCTCCTCCACCTCCCCCCCCCTCTCCTCGGGTCGCCTACGGCCACGGGGGAAACCGCGCAGGGGCACAGGCTCTCTCCGAGCGAGCGTCGCGCGCGAGAGGCGCGGTCGGCATCGCCACCGCGCAGCATCCCGCAGCTGCTGAGAGCCGTCGGTCGTCGAAAGCCGGTATCTCCCGGGCCCAGACACGATCGCGTCATGTAAAAAGATCAGGGCGGGAGGTGTTTGGCCGTTTTCGTCCCCTGGGGGCCTCGCCGGGCCTCGGGAGCGTGAGAAGACGATTCAGGAGGAGAAGCTGGTCCCGGGGAAAGGGTCGGGACTTTCAGGGACCCCCTCTCGAAAAAATCAGAGCGTCGCTTGTTTGGGTCGGTATCTTTGGGCTCTCAGATCCTTATATGCTTCTGGCGCTTTCGTTTTTAACGGATTTATGTATGGGGCGTTCCAAGAAGGGCCTTGCCTTCGAGGATGGCAGGGGTTCTCATCTCTTCCGCGGCGGAAGGTCGGCGGATGTAAAACGAGGCCGCCTCTGGGAGTGCGTTTGTTTTGTTGTTCTCTGGGAGTGGCCTGAGCCCAGTCTGCGTTAGCCGCCTTCCTGTCCCATGTGGTATACCTACGTTTTGCGACCGACGCGTAGGAGCGTAAGAGTGAAGAGGCGGGCGCAGGGTCTGCGGGCGGGTCGCGTGGTGGGTCGCGGGCGGGTTGCGGACGAAGACGACGACAGCAGCAGCAGCAGCAGCAACAACAACAACAACAGCAGCAACAACAACAACAGTTACAGTAACAAAACCAACACCATCAACAAGAGCAAACACAATACCAACATCCACAACACCCACAACAACACCACCCCACCAACAACAGCAACAACAACAACACCCCCAACCACAACCATAGCCACAACAACAACACCAGCCACAACATCAACAACGACAACAGCAGCAACACTCACATCAACACGACCACCACCACCAACAACACTCAGTTGAATATTGTGCGATCTGACACGAGCGCGTGTCAACCATAATGTGTTTCACACACCCGGATACCCGCCGTCTTCGTCTTCGGTCATACCCTTTTTAGGGGGGATATCGCTCTTCCCTGCCACGTGTGAGTGGCGCAGCCTTTTCGAACAACGACAGCACAGACAAGCTGGAGAAGGGAGAGAGAGGAGGAAGGGAGTAAGGTAAAGAAGGTCGGAGAGAAGGGGGAAGAAGTGGGGAGGGAGGACGACGCCCCTAAACAGGAAAACGCCCCTAAACAGGAAAACCCTGAAACTGGAGGACGACGCCCCTAAAAGATGGAGGACGACGCCCCTAAACAGGAAAGCCCTGAAACTGGATGGGGGCCAATGAAGGCTGCAGAGGGGCCAGGAAAGGCAGCGAGAGGACCACGAAGAGCCACATCGTGGCCACGAAGGTCAGCGGGGAGGCCACGAGAGGCGACCGCACGGCCACGAGCGGCGTCGAGGGGCCCAGGCAGCGGGGCCACGAAGGGCATCGACGAGGCCACGAAGGGCCGCGGCGGGGCCCTCAAATCCGACTGCGGCTTCGCGAGGGGCGGCGAGGGGCAGCGGAACGGGAGACGAGCGGCGAGAGGCGACGGCGGGCCGCACCGGGCGGGCCACGCGGGCGGGTCGCGAACGCGTGAGTCGTGCACGAGTCGCCAGGGAGTCTCTGGGCGAGAGCGCGGGGCCCAGGAGAACGAGGAGGAGGTCCAGGGCGAGGGAGCGCAGTGCCGGAAGGGCGGGAGCGCGGCGCCGCAGCACACGGCAGGGACTTTTCAGGCGAGGGCGCGATCCTTTCGTAAATTGCAAGGAAGTCCCACGCGTGGGGGGGGGGCAAGTAAATTGTTTAGGAAGCATCAGGCGGGATCCGTTGTTGTTGTAGTTTGGGGGTCAGGAGGGGGACAATGTGAGCTTCACGGCATTCTTTGATATAGCACAGGGTACGAGTCCGGGGAGGGGCACTTCAATTGAAAAACAACCTGTACACTGGAGGGAGGATCAACAACATTTATTTCTCAGTACTTGGAATTCAATAGCAAAAACAACAGCAGCAACAACAACAACAACTGCAACACTAATTTTTAAGATTGTTCGTTCGTATATGTTCGCGTGCCGTTTAATACGTATATTCCAAACCCTCGATACCCGCTCTCGTCGTCTTCAATCGTACCCCCGTGGGGGTGTATCTTCCTAACTTGCCTCGTGTATATGGCGCAGCCCACAAAACAGGGGGAGAGGACGGATGGAAGGAAGGGACAAGGCGGAGGGAAGAGGATGGAGCACGAGAGAGACTAGCAGAAGTGGGGCTAGGAGCAGAAATGACGTGGCAGAGCCAGACGGGCAGATCGGGCGGGTAGACCCTAACAGGCGGGTTGGAAAGGCAGGCCCAGACGGCCAGGTCGAGCAGGTGGGTTGTTGAGGCGTGATTCCCAAGTAACTCCTCGAGCGATAGCGGGATTCCCAAGTAACTCGTGAGAAAGGCCAGAGCGAGAGCGTGATTCCTGAGTGTCGAGGGCGCGCCGTCTGAATAATTTACCAGAAAGTCCCACGCGAGAGCGCGATTCATGCATGCACTGTTGCGAAGAGCTCCCGCACGAAAGCGCGATGTTGGAACAACCTGCGAGCAAGCATCCGGCCGGAGCCGCTGCTGGCGTACACCGGGGGCTAACAATGAGTCTGCGCCCCAAGACTTCCCCTTGTAGAAACAGGGGGCGGGCCACGGGAGGAGCACGTTAATTGGAACACACCGGGCACCGCGGATGGGGCATCAACAATAATTCATTTAGGGATTAGAACTCAACGCAACAGCAACACTCCGCACCGCGGAAGCCCACTTCAGCCACGCGCCCAGGGACAGTGAATGATTTTTCGCCCCCCTCATTTTTTTGATCACTACCACCAGCACCACCATCAGAATGATCGCCAGCCGAATTATCATCGCTGCCAGCACCACACCCAGCATCATCATCCTCACCATCGTCACCACCATCACTGGTCCAGGAAACCGAAGCCGCTTGCTCCCAGGATTGGAGGCTGCGAGGCTGCGTGCGGCTGCGATGGAGGAGGCGGAGGCAAACAAGTACACGCTAAACGTTGTGCCCCACCGGGACAAATCCACCGTCATCATCATCATCATCATCATCATCATCATCATCATCATCATCATCATCAGAAGCATCATCATCATCATCATGAGCAGCATCATCATCACCATCATCATCATCACATCATCATCATCATCATCATCATCATCATCATCATCATCATCATCACCATCATCATCATCATCATCATCATCATCATCCCCTTCAGGCTTCCTGGGCTTCCCCTCCCACACGCGCTCATCGCCCTCCTCCCCCTCATCCCCCCCCCCACCTCCTCCGGCGCGTGGCCGCGGAGAGGCCGTGACGCTGTTCAGGCGGCGGTTGCTCGAGCTCAACCTCGCGCAGGAGAAGGCAGGGGCGCGCCGGCAGCGGGCAGGTTGATGGTCGAGGAGGCGCGAAGGCGGAGTGACAGAGGGAGGGAGAGGGAGGGAAGACTTACGTCGAGCGTGTCCGTCTACAGGGGGAAACTTCGAGAATAGTGGAAAAATAGTCTGGTGATGATTTTTCGTGCTCTCTTGACTATGTTGGACTACTGCTTGAATAGTTTCCACTATTCCTCCAAAATCCGCCTGTAGGAGGACACGCCTGACCTAATGGACCAGGGGTTGTGGCATGGGCGCGGGACAGAGACAGATGTGGAGGCAGATGCAGCAAACGACCTCCGTGAGGCAGAGTGGCGTGCAGTGGCCGAGAGGAGAGGAGACCGGGCCATCATGAACGGGGGCGGGGGCGCAGATTGGACGACGAAAGACGACGACGGCGACGATTCCGAGGGCGACGACGGACAGTCATGCAGCGGCTGAGACACGATCGGCTGCCTAAGCCATCCGCCCACTGGAGATGCCCGGGGGTGGATGGCGAGCGCTTTGCTCGGCGCCTCCCAGGGTGCCAGAGAGAGGTGACACCAAGGGAAGGGGGGGGGAGGCAGGAGGTAGATGCGCGGGATATGCGGGAGAAACGGGCCAGCGGAGAGAGGGAGGACGGAAGAATGAAGGGGGGTTGAGCAGCAAGCAGGAGGAGGAGGGGGGGCGAATGAGAGGAAAGCGATGGAGGGACATGGGTGTATGTGTCGCCGCGCCGCTTGTTCCGACACGCGGCCTCAACGTCTTGGAGGGGGCGCCGCGGCCACCAGGGCAAGCGCCGCCTCGGACGCGGTGGACTCACCGTGGTTTTGCCGCGGTGACGGTTTCGTCTGCCTGGGGTGCGGTACGCAGCGTTTGTCGTGGGTTCTCCGTGATGTCGGCGGCGTCTCTTTGGGTGCGTCGAGCACAAAAGGCGCGGCGACATGTATCAATGTGGTGCGATCTAGGGGGTGCAGCTGACTACCCTGCACCGCGCTTGACCACTCCACTGCTCGCGCAAACATCCCACCCACCCACCCGCAACTTGGTTCGCAAACTCTCTTAAGACCGTGACGGTGGGTACCAAATGGCACTTGCCAACGACAGCGACGCCGACGACGACAGCGACAACGACGACGACGACGACGCCGCCGACAACGACTACGACGACACCGACGACGTCTCCAGCGACTTCGACGACGCCGACAATGACGACGACGACGACGACGACGACGACGACGACGACGACACCGACGACGACGACGACGCCGACGCCGACGACGACGACGACGACGATGACAACGACGACGACGATGACGACGCCGACGACGACGACGACGACGACGACGACGACGCCGACGACGACGACGATGACGACGACGACGACGGCGGCGACGACGACGCCGACAACGACGACGACGACGACGACGACGCGACGACGCGAACGACGACGACGACGACGACGACGACGACGTGACGACGACGGACGACGACGACGACGACGACGACGACGACGACGACGACGACGACGCGAACGACGAAGAAGGAGGAAGGACGGCGACGCCGACGACGACAACGACGAGGGAGGAGGGAAGACGACGACAACGACAACGACGACGACGACGACGGCGACGAAATAGGAGGGACGACGACGAGACGCCGACGACGGACGACGACGACGACGAGGGAGGAGGAGGAAGGACGACCACGGCGTCAACGACGACGGAAACGACCACGACGCCAAACAGGACGACGACGACGAACACGAGGAAAGACAGAGGACGACGTAGGCGACGACGACGACGACGACGACGCGGGAGGAGGGAGGACGGCGACGACGACGACGACGACGACGACGACAACGCAAGAGCGCGCGCGCACGCTTTTGTTGAAAACCCGTGTTGCGAAACCTTGGGTTTTTGTAGGTTTTTTGGACGCGCGATTTCGAAACCCTTCCGAAACCGATGGGTTTTGAAGGATTTCGGCGTGCGCGCGCGACCACGCGCGCGTCTGCACTTCGTCCCATGTTTTGCAGAGGATTCTCGCGACGGCACACGCGCAAGGGCGTTCGACAGATATCGACATGCGCGCGCGCGAAGCCCGTTTGCTAGCATTTTGTGAAAATCTTGAAAAACCTAGGGTTGTCTCAAGATTTCGCAAAAGCTCGCGGGGAAGCTTTTTTTGCAAATCAGTGTTGCGAAACCATGTGTTGTTGTATGGTTTGGAAACTCGATTGCGAAATCCTTCCGGCACCGAAGGTTGAAGGATTTCGGCATGCGCGCGCGACGACGCGCGCGTGTGCACTTCGTCCCATTTGTTGCAAGAGGTTCGTGAACAAGTGCTATGTCAGAACAAAACATGTCACCGCATAGTGTTTTTGTTTCAAGGGGCCCTCAGGGGGGGGAGGGGAAACCAGCCTGCCTGGGATGGTATGATTTCATATTTCGGATGGAAGAGTGTGCATAATATATATATATATATATATATATATATATGTAAATTTTTATTATCCCAGGGGGAAACGTTAAGTCCGGGGGGGTAGAGTCTATTCTCTTTTTAGAAAGGAGAATCCACTCTGCTGAACTGGAAGTCGTCATCTCCACTGCTCGCGCAAACGTCCCACCCACCCACCCGCAGCTTGGTCTGCAAAACCTCTTGAGACCGACTACGACGACACCGACGACAACGACTACGACGACACCGACGACGTCGCCGACGACTTCGACGACGACGACGCCGACGCCGACGACGACGAAGACGACGACGACGACGCCAACGAAGGCGACGACGAGGGAGGAGGAAGGACGACGACGGCGACAACGACGACAACGACGACAACGACGAGGGAAGAGGGAGGACGGCGACGACGCGAACGACGAAGAAGGAGGAAGGACGGCGACGCCGAAGACGGCAACGACGAGGGAGGAGGGAAGACGACGACGACAACGACAACGACGACGACGACGACGACGACGGCGACGAAATAGGAGGGACGACGACGAGACGCCGACGGCGGACGTCTACGACGTCGAGGGAGGAGGAGGAAGGATGACCACGGCGACAACGACGACGGAAACGACCACGACGCCAAAGAGGACGACGACGACGAAAACGAGGAAAGACAGAGGACGACGTAGGCGACGACGACGACGACGACGACGCGGGAGGAAGGAGGACGGCGACGACGACGACGACGACGACGACGACGCAAGAGCGCGCGCGCACGCTTTTGTTGAAAATCCGTGTTGCGAAACCTTGGGTTTTGTAGGTTTTTGGACACGCGATTTTGACATCCTTCCGAAACCGATGGGTTTTGAAGGTTTTCGGCATACGCCCGCGACGACGCGCGCGTCTGCACTTCGTCCCATTTGTTGCAGAAGATTCTCGCGACGGCACACGCGCAAGGGCGTTCGACAGATTTCGACATGCGCGCGCGAAGCCCGTTTGGTAGCATTGTGTGAGAATCTTGAGAAACCCATGGTTTTATATATGATTTCGCAAGAGGTCGCGCGGAAGCTTTTTTAGCAAATCAGTGTTGCGAAACATTGTGTTTTCGTATGTGTTTTGGAAACTCGATTGCGAAATCCTTCCGGCACCGAAGGTTTTTGAAGGATTTCGGCATGCGCGCGCGACGACGCGCGCGTGTGCACTTCGTCTCATTTGCTGCAAGGGATTCGTGAACAAGTGTTATGTCAGAACAAAACATGTCACCGCATATTGGTTTTTACCCGGGGAACTCAGGGGGGGGATACCGGCCAGCCTGGGATAGTGTAAATTCATATTTAGGATGGACATGTGATCAGAATCTTCAATGATTTACATACCCGAAATGGGTACTGATAACGCCGGGGGGGGGTAGATCATTTTTTGTTTTTAGAAAAGATCATCCAGGTGGTGCAGCCCAGGTGGTACAACATATGAGACGCAAAGCAATACCAAGCAACGCAATGCAACGCAACGCAATGCAAAGCAATACGAATCAAACCAATGCAGAGCAACGCAACTCAGATCAACACAACGTATGCAACGTAAAGCAATGCGATGCAACGCGATGCAACGCGATGCAAAGCAAACACGGCAGTGCAAAGCAATGCAAAGCAGTGCATCACAACGCAAAGCAATGAAAAGCAATGCATCGCAATGCAACGCCATGCGACTGCAACGCGAAGCAATGCGATTGCAACGCGAAGCAATGCGAAGCAAAACAATGCGATTGCAATGTAAATTCAATGCCATGCAGTGCGATTGCAATGTACTGCGATTGCAATGGGGCGGCGACGGAGGGGAACGAGGCTGTCGGGCCCGCAAACGATCGCTTTATTCGGCCAACGTGTGCGGCGACGGACGGGGACGGGGCCGCTGGGGCCGCGGCGGGGCCAGGTCCTGAGAAGGGGAGTAGGGCACCCCCAAGTACATCTCTGCTTGAAGAGAGTTCACGCATCGAAGATACTACATATAGAGAGGGAGGGGGCTTCCCAGAAGAGAAGTAAGGACCCCCAGGTACAAGCACTGCTCGAAGAGCATTCACACATCGATACGAACGTCATGTAGGGAGAGGGAGGGGGGGTAGTTACCGTGAGCACAAGGAGGTGGTGGCTTTGAGTGAGGCGGCGGGCCAAAGCGAGGGATAGAGAGAGAGAGAGCCAGATCTAGGGACAAAGGGAGCCAGATAAAGACACCAAAGGGAGCCAATGAGCGTCCTCCTCCTCCTCATCCTCCTCCGCCTCCTCATCCTCCTCCTTCTCCTCCTTCTCCTCCTCCTCCCCCTCCCCCTCCTCCCCCTCCTCCTCCTCCTCCCCCTCCTCCCCCTCCTCATCCTCCTCATCCTCCACCTCCTCCTCCTCCTCCTCCTCCTCCTCCCCCTCCTCCTCCCCCTCCCCGTCCCGCCACGAGGGGGAGATAGAGAGAGAGAGAGAGAGACGGGAAACGGGGAGTGAAATCCACAGCAGGTGCATGCGCAGGG